GACGAGTTGATGGGTGCTGACAAGTTGATGGGTGCAGCATACCAACATGGCACAAGTATACATATGTAACAAACCTGCACGTTGTGCACATACATATACCCTAGAACTTAAGGTATAATTAAAAAACAACAACAAACAAACGAACAAAAAAAAACCTGTTACGAAAATATACTTACTTTCTACATTCCTGTCATTCTCAATTTTTAAAAAATATTAAACTCCTAAAAAGAGTAAGCTCCACATTGGTATGGCAGAATAGTCCTTATTTCATGAATTTAGTCTTTCTGCGAGAGCTACATTCTTTCTGATGAAGCCACTATATTCTTTTGACATGCAGGAAAAAAAAGGTCTTTATGTAACTGCTGTGTTAGGAAAAGCTTGTGAAAGAGTTCACAGAGTAAGAATTTTAAAGCCTAAAGAAAACTCTGAAGGTTTGCTTGGCATGTGGCTTCTTTATCTTTAACAAAAGTACATCTTTGTCTTTATTTCTTCATCTCTGTATTTTTCAGGTTAGTCAGACTCAGAGGTATCTAGTGTATTTAATTTGGTAACTTTTAAGGCTTTCCACTAATAACCTGCTTTCCCCTACCTCCCCAAAAAAGCCACCAAAAAAAGTGATTCTTTCTTAATTCCTGACCTGTGCGGTACCAGTGCTGTATGATTTGGCTTTAGGGAAAATGAGTGGTAGAGGTTTGTTTCCAGAACCTAGCTTTTATTGTAGAAAACAGTGGAACATTTTTCACAGCAGACTGGGAGTCCACTAGGTGGAGTAGTTTTACAATTTATTTCAACGCTTACTGTGACTCTGAGGAAATCCTTTTGTTTCCCTGGTTCATGCAGAATTCCAGCACAGGAGATCTCCTCCTAAAGAATGCTACATCTTTTTGATGTTCTGAAAGAAATAAAAGTACAGTAGTGTAGCTTGTGTGGAAGCAGTTGTGGTTCAATGAGAGTGGGAAGAGTAACTATATTTTATAGAACAGGCAGAGGGGAAAAGCCAATAAATGGGTCATAATTTGAGCATAGGAAAAAAAATTGGAGAGAATAATGTGACCAGAATGATCTGTGCTAAGATAATGGTTAGCACGGTTTGCCCATGTGTTGGCTCTGTAGTGCTTAAAGATTGTCACTGGAGGCATAAGGTATAGGCAATGGGGAAGGTGAAGAAGAGGTAAAAAATGAAAGAGAGAGAAGAGAGGAAGGAAAAAAGCATAATTTCAGGGCCATTTCCTCTTAGTGAACTGGGGAAAGATAGAAGTATAGGGAGAAAATGATTTTAGTAGATAAAAATATAGAGAAACCAACTGTGAAAATTTCCCTTGTCATGGTCTTTATAACTTCATGTTATCCATTCTCTAACAGGAGATATTGGACTAAGCTTTACATGTATGTAACTGCAATGTAAGACATAATTTATATTTTTTCAATAGTCTTTGGATTTGTTATTTCTTGTACTTTAGGAACCTGAACTCCTTCATCAGAGCTCCTTTGTTTCCTTATTCATTTATCTCAGCTTCATGTTGGTGGAGTGTGGCTTCCTACTGTTGTTTATGTGTGTAACTAGGTCTTGTGTGTCTGATTTTTCTCTTTTGGGATAATTTGCTTTCTAGCAACCTTTTTTCCCCTAGTTTTAAATATCTGTATTCTGTGTAAATAAGAATGTAATAAATTTTGGAAGAGTGTATTTAATTTGGTAACTTTTAAGGCTTTCCACTAATAACCTGCTTTCCCCTACCTCCCCAAAAAAGCCACCAAAAAAAGCGATTCTTTCTTAATTCCTGACCTATGCAGTACTAATGCTGTATGATTTGGCTTTAGGGAAAATGATTTCAGCACCAAGAAAAATAAAATCTTACAACTTTTTAAAACTCTAATCTTACTTTTAGGAACATGATACTTAGTTTTAGGAATACAAGTTTTCTTACCTTTAGGAACATGATACTGCAGTCTGCCAGAAAGAGAAAATTTGCTATTTTAGAAGGCTTCCATCAAAGGAGTTTCTACACATCACATCTTTGATGTTTCATTTAGGGAATTCTTTCTTATGTCTTACCTAAAATCCACTTGCTATAACACGTTTAAATTCTTTACTATTGAAAAGCAGTTACCTAGCATCTGCTCTCTGGTACATGGTACACTGTAGTGCCTAATTTTATCATGTAACATATAGCCCAGCATGGTAAGAGTCTGCAATACTCTGCAAAAATGTTGAAGAAACTTAAGTAATAAGAAGTAAATTTAAAAGTTGTGGAGGGTGTTGAGTAGCTGTGAGTTATGTGTCTCGCCACTGTGAGGCCTGTGAAAATCATCACTGTTTTTCTCATTTCTACATCTGCATATTCTCTTCAGTTTGAGAACAACTGGACCATCCTCTCTGTAAAACTGTTTTTATTGTCACTTCTCATCTTCTTTTAAAGGCTGCAAATATTCCTTTCATCTTTCTTTGGAGGTTTTATTTTTCATCCTATTAATCATCCTTGAGTCTCTTCTGAATCTCTTCCAAGTCTTTTTTTTTTTTTTCCCCTCGGCGTTCCTTTAGTTTGGAAATACAGAACTGGAAACAGTACCCTGAGAGTATCTGACTGCTTTTGAGTATCCTGGAGGAAGACTTCACACTGGTACAAGTGCCAGAGTCTACTTCATATAACTTTAGATTATGTTTGCTTTCTAAAAATGTATCATATATTGCTGACTAACTGTCAGATTTTTATCTCCTATGACCTTGATCGTTTCCTTTTATGTTTATTTATAGTTTGTACATTCATCATCTTTTTTTATTGAGTCTATTTTTCTTGTCTGGATATATATTGCTTCACACTGTCCTCGTTGAAATTCATTGCATTTTTTTCTGATTACTAAACTACTTACCCAATGTCATTTCCATTCCTGTCTTTCAGTATGCCCCACCCATAGGCTTTATATATTGTCTGTGCTATTCAAGTCAGTAATGAAATTATTAAAAATAGGAAGGTAGAGAAGTGTCCTAGAAGCAATGGCAGAAAACATTTGTTGATGTTTCTCAAAACTTACTCTGATCAGCAGCCAGACTGAGTAGTAGAGAGCTGTTCCCCTCCTTCTGTGTTTTTGATACTCCTGGAATCTATTGCCCTCACCCTGAAAGTTTGGTGTCTGCATCTCCACACAGCTCTGTAGAGAAACAAAGCAATTAATCTTGCACACTTCTGTCAGATTTCATCTTCATCACTGCCTTGTATGTATCTCTCCCTGTTCATAACTTTCTGTGGCTCTCTATCAGCTGCTGAATTAAATATAAACTTTCTAGTTTGGTATTCAAGGCATATTTTGGCCTGAGTCTTCCTTTCCAGTCTGATTGCCTATAACTGTGTTTCCTACCGTATTAATTACTTGTCATTCTCCAGATATCTCTTTCATTTTTTCTTTTTTTTTGAGACAGAATCTTGCTCTGTCACCCAGGCTGGAGTGTAGTAGCGTGATCTCAGCTCACTGCAACCTCCGCCTCCTGGGTTCAAGCAATTCTCTTGTCTCAGCCTCCTGAGTAGCTGGGATTATAGGCATCTGCTACCGTGCCCAGCTAATTTTTTGTATTTTTAGTAGGGATGGGGTTTCACCATGTTGGCGAGGCTGGTCTCGAACTCCTGACCTCAAGTGACCCACCTACCTCGGCCTCCCAAAGTGCTGGGATTACAGGCATGAGCCACCACGCCCAGCCTCTTTCACTTTCTGAAGTCTTGGTTTGTTTGCATTGTTTGGCCTGTTTAGCACACACTCATTTCTGTTACTATTTAAGACCAATTTCTTTCATTTCTTTTCTTTATGGATTTTTCCAATTAGATACAGTCTTTCCGTTCCACACCATCCCCTGCACAAATCTTTATACCTTTGGGGTACTTTTGTCTTATGTTATCGCTATTTGTGTGTTTTTCTTATCCTCCTGGTGGACTATATATTTTTTATTTTATTTATTTATTTAATGGGAGGAAGTCTTGCTCTGTCACCCAGGCTGGAGTGCAGTGGCACAATCTCTGCTCACTGTAACCTCCACCTCCTGGGTTCAAGTGATTCTCCTGCCTCAGCCTCGCGAGTAGCTGGGATTACAGGCGCCCGTCACCACACCTGGCTAATTTTTGTATTTTAGTAGAGATGATGTTTCACTATGTAGGTCAAGCTGGTCTCAAACTCCTGACCTCAAATGATCCGCCCACCTCAGCCTCCCAAAATGCTGGGATTACAGGCGTGAGCCACCATGCCTGGCCTGTATATTTTTTGAGAACTGTCTCCTCTTCATCTTGGTAATTTCGATATACCTAGCATGTATTTGCATAAGAAATTGAATAGACTTGGCCAGGCATGGTGGCTCATGCCTGTAATCCCAGCATTTGGGGAGGCTGCGGTGGGTGGATCACCTGAGGTCAGGAGTTCAAGACCAGCCTGGCCAACGTGGTAAGACCCTGTCTTTACAAAAAAATACAAAAATTAGCTGGGTGTGATGGCAGGTGACTGTAATCCCAGCTTCTTGGGAGGCTGAGGCAGGAGAATTGCTTGAACCCGGGAGGCTGAGGTTGCAGTGAGCTGAGATTGTGCCATTGCACTCCAACCTGGGTGACAGAGCGAGATTCCGACTCAAAAATAAATAAATAAATAAGAAAGAAATAAAAGGTAGTGACTAGAATAAATTGAATAGACTTAAACTTTTTTTAAAGCAGTATTTATAGGTACATGCCATATAAATGAGTTAGATCAGTTTGAGCACATTGTATGATATATTTGATTTAAATTCCAGTGTACCCTTCTTATCTAGCTGCAGACTGCTAGCAAAGTTTGTGGATCAGCAGCTGGTCCACACTTTGAGTAACATTGTTATAAGTACTTTTTTCCCTCTTAAAAAATTGTAGAAGCAGTTAAAGGTTTATAATTTGTTGTGTTAGTTGTTAAACAAAATTGCTAAATTCAGCAATTGCTTGATTGCTTAAAGTTGTACTGTAAAAGCCGTATTATAATGAACTTTTATTATTTTCTAGAAACTATCCAACTCTGGCCAATATTGAAAGAAAGAAGAAGTTAAAACTTGAAAAGGAAAAGAGAGGAGCAGTATTGACAACAACACAGTATGGGTAAGTTCCTCATGCTTATGAATAATGAAAAGGAGCACAAATCAAAATCTTAAAATCCTTATGTACTCAGTTTTGAAATCTTTTATAACTTATTTACTTAAAAAAGATCAATTTATCTTTTTTTTAACACCAACCTGATAATACAAATAGTTATATCTTAAAATAAGGATTACCCTATATTCATATGGTTTTCAAAGGATAATTAATAAGACCTTTCAATCTTTGTCTCCCAGCTAATTAGTTTCCTCCCAGAGGCGATCCATTTTATCCTTCCAGAGATACCTGATGTCTATACAGCAGGTAGATGATAGATACAGTCTTTCCCCTCCTTTTTTTGATACTATATTTGCTTTGTTAGCCATGCAGTATACTTACAGATTGTCCCACATTAATGTGTAACAAACCTCATTATTTAAGGATGTGGCTGGGCACAGTGGCTCACACCTGCAGTCCCAGAACTTTGGAAGGCTAAGGAGGGAGGATCACTTAATCCCAGGAGTTCAAGACCAGCCTGGGTGACATAGCAAGACCTCGTCTCTACAAAAATAAAAACAGAAAAATTAGCCGGGCATAGTGGCATGTGCCTGTAGTTCCAGCTAGTTGGGAGGCTGAGGCAGGAGGATCGCTTGAGCCCAGAGGTTGGAGATGGGTGCTGCTGCACTCCAGCCTGAATGACAGATCAAGACCCTGTCTCTTTTAAAAACAAAACAAAACAAAAACAAAAACAGGATGTGTAGGAAGCTTAAGGATGTCCCACAGTGTCGTTTTTTTAAAAATTAGCTTGTTGTTGATGGACATTTAAGTTCTTACCAACCTTTTGCTAATAAAAAATGTTTTCATATTGCCCTTATACATAACAATATTTTACATATGAGTAAGTATTTCTGAAGATAGATTACTAGAAATTGATTTGCTGAGTCAAAGAGTTATGTGCATCTGTAATATTCACATGTACTACCGAATATCTGTTATGGAGCTGGACCAGTTTACTCTCCCACCAGCAGTGTATGAGCTATCTTCCCCCCGCAACTCCCTCACTTTCATAGAAGTTTTAAGAATTTTTTCCATTTCATTTTTTATTGAAGTACATTATAATATATGAAAAATATAGAAAAATGCACTTCAGGAATTTTTATACACATATACACATACACCCCTCCCATCCCATACATCCATGTAACCTCCACACAGGTGAATGTACATAACTTCTTCACCTCATGAAGCTCTCTTAAGCCCTCCGCTGTTCAATGCTTCACCACAAAGGTAACCCCTTTTCTGATTTCTGTCATCATAGATTATATTACCTGTTCTGGGAACTGTAGATAAATGGAATTATATAGTATGTATTCTTGGGTGTATGAGTTCTATGGCCCAAAATTATTTTGTGAGATTTATCCATGTTGTGTATAGTTGTAAAATGTTTTGTTTTTATTGCTGTGTAGAACTTAATTGTGAGAATATATATGTATTCTACTGTTAATGGACATTTGGGTTATATGGGCTAATATAAATAAAGCTACTGTGAACATTCTTTTACCTGTCTTGTTTACATAGGGCTCATTTTCATTGGTCATATAAATATGCTAGGTCATAGGGTATCCACATGTTTAGCTTTAATAGATATGGCCAGTTTTCCGAAGTGGTCGAACCAGTTTAACACTTCTACTAAATGCATCTTATTGTTCTGTGTCCTGGTCAGTGCTTGGTAAGTTACACCTTTTCCTCTTGTCGTAACATTTTCCTCCTGCCTTGTGGTGTTAATCCCTTTTCATATGCTTATTGACTATTTGAATGTTCTCTTGTGTAGTACCAGTTCAAGCCTTTGACCAATTTTTAATTGGGGTTGCTTTTCTGATTTGTAAGAGTCATTTACTCAGATACAAATCTTACTTTGTAGTATATGTATTGCAGATATATCTCACAATATGTGGCTTATCTTTTTATTGTCTTAATGGATATCCTTTTTCCTTTTTTTATACAACAATAACTGTTCATTGCTCAGATATTTGGGATCAGCTAGGAGTCAGGCATATCTGTTGATCTTGACAAGGCTCCATTAAAGCCGGGGATTGGTCAGTGATAGTTAGGATAGCTATGTAGTTACTATTTTTAGGGCTCTTCCTTCTTTTGTGTAGATCCATCTTTCCATTTGATGTCATTTTTCCTCTGTCTGAAGGACTTCCTTTAATATTTCTTGTAGTGAGAATTTGCTGGGAATTACTTTTTTCAGCTTTGTGTGTCTGAAAAAGTATTTTGCCTTTTTGAAAGATACTTCTGCAGGCTATGTAATCAGTTAACAGTTTTTCAAATGTATAGTACTCTAAAGATGTGATTCCATTGTCTTCTCATTATCATTGTTTTCAATGAGAAATCTGTTGTCATTATTATCTTTTTTATCTGTATAAATTTATCTCAGGCTTCTTTTAAGATTTTTCTGTTTATCACCAGTTTTGAGCAATTTATGATGTGTCTCGGTATAGTTTTCTTTATGTTTCTTGTGCTTGGCATTTGTTGAACTTCTTGGATTATAATTTTTATCAGATTTGGAAAAATGTTGGCCGTTATTTCTGCAAATGTTTTTTCTCTACCTTCCTCTCCCTTTCAGACTCCAGTTACATGTATAATAGGCTGTTTAAAGTTGTTCTATTGCTTACTGATGCTCTTTTCATTTTTTAAAACTTTTTTTCCTCTGTGTCTCATTTTAGATCATTTCTATTGCTATGCCTTCATGTTCATTAATCTTTCTTATGCAGTGTCTAATCTTTCATTAGTCTCATGTGTATGTATATTTTGTCTCAATGTAATTTTGCATGTTTTATCTCCGACATTGTAGTTTTTATTCTTAGACGTTTGATTTGGGCTGGGCATGGTAGGTCATGCCTGTAATCCTAGTGCTTTGGGGGGCCAATGTGGGAGGAGTGCTTGAGCCCAGGAGTTCAAGACCAGCCTGGGCAACATAGCAAGACTTTCTCTATACAAAAAAATTTAAAAGTTAGCTGAACATGGTGGTACACACCTGTAGTCCCAGCTTCTCGAGAGGCTGAGGCAGGAGGTCACTTGAGCCCAGGAGTTCAAGGCTACCGTGGTCTGTGATTGTGCCACTGCCCTCCAGCCTGATTGACAGAATGAGTCTCTGTCTTGTTAAAAAAAAAAAAGGTTGGTTTGGTTCTTTTATTTCTCTGCTTAACTTTTTAAACATAAAGAATACAGTTATAGTAACTTTTAATTTCTCCCTGCTAATTTTAATATTTGTGTTGGTTCTGGATCACCTTTTAATTGATATTTCTCTTTATTTTGTGTTATATTTTCCTGCTTTGTTGCATGCGTGGTAATTTTTTTTCTTTTTTTGAGATGGAGTCTCGCTCTGTCCCCAGGCTGGAGTGCAGTGGCGTGATCTTGGCTTACTGCAACCTCTGACTCCTGGGTTCAAGCGATTCTCCTGCCTCAGCCTCCCGAGTAGCTGGGACTACAGGCATGCGCCATCATGCCCAGCTAATTTTTGTATTTTAGCGAAGACAGGGTTTCACCATGTTGGCCAGGATGGTCTCAATCTCTTGACCTCGTGATCTGCCCACCTTGCCACCCAAAGTGCTGGGATTACAGGTGTGAGCCACTGCTCCTGGCCCCATGCCTGGTAATTTTTTATTGGATACTTGACACTGGAAATTTTACATTATTGGGTGCTGTATTAGTCCATTTTCACCCTGCTGATAAAGAATACCCAAGACTGGGCAATTTACAAAAGAAAGAGGTTTAACTGGACCTACAGTTCCACGTGGCTGGGGAAGCCTCATAATTGTGGGGGAAGGCAAGGAGGGGCAAGTCACATTTTCTGTGAATGGCATTAGGCAGAGAGAGGAGAGCTTGTGCAGGGAAACTCTGCTTTTTAAAGTGGTCAGATCTCATGAGACTTACTCACTATCACAAGAACAGCACAGGAAAGACCCACCCCCATATTTCAATCACCTCCCACCGGGTTCCTCCCATGACATGTGGGATTGTGGGAGTTACAATTCAAGATGAGATTTGGGTGGGGACACAACCAAACCACATTAGGTGCTGTATATTTTTGTGTTTCTATAAATGTTCTTGAACTTTTTTCTGGGAACACAACTGAGTTACTTAGAAACAGTTTGATCCTTCTGGGTCTTGCTTTTAAGATTTGGTAGATGAAACCAGAGCAGTGTTTAGTCTGAACCTAACTACTCACTACTGATGTAAGATCTTACTGGGTATCTTACCCCATGCCCTGTGAAATATGAGGTACAAACAGGACCTAGTTATGACTCCGAGTGAAGATAAGGTGCTGATAACTCTGATCCTTTTGGATGGTTTTTTTTTCCCCAACTTTGGGTAGTTTCCTGACAAATACATGCCGATCATTCTTCTGCTAAATAGTCCAGGGTAAATCCTCTGCAAATCTCTAGAGTTCTCTCTCTCTCTGTAGTTTTTTCCTCTCAGGTACATCCTGCAAGCTCTAGATGTCTTGCTGTCTCTGGTGTCTCAACTCCAGTTCCTCACCTCAGGGATTCTACCAGGTCCCATCTGGATTCCTCTTTTCTGCAGTCTGGAAACTCTTAAGGCTGTAAGCAAGGGCAGTTGCAGGGTTTACTATTCATTTATTTTCCGTCTTTCAGGGATCACTGCTCTTATTGCTTGATGTCCTATGTCATAGAGACCGTTGTTTCTTCATTTTGGCTAATTTTTTGGTTATTTCAGGTAGGAGGATAAATTCAGTCCCTGTTACTTTATTTTGGCCAGAAACAGAAGTTCTTAATGGTGAAGTTGCAATTTTCATGAAGTCTGATTTATTAATCTTTTATTTTTATGGTCAGTGCTGTGTGTATTCTGCCTTAAAAAATATTTGCTTACTTGGAGATCATAAAGCTATTTCTTTATGTTTTCTTTTAGAAGATTTATTGCTTTGCCATTGTGGTATATGTCTAGAATTAATTATTGTACATAGTGTAAGGGTTAAGGACCTTTAAAATTTTTTCACATATGAATTACAGTTGATCCAGTACTAATTGTTATACCATGCAGACCCCAACCAAAAGTAACCTGGTACAACAATATTAATATCAGACCAAATAGATGTTAAAGCAAGATGTGTTATTAGGGATAAATAGGAATATTTTGTAATGTTAAAAGAGTCAGTGCAACAACAAGAAGACATACCAATTCTAAATCTGTATGTGTCTAGTAATATAGCTTTAAAATATGTAAAGTGAAAATTTTGAAACAAACACAACTCTTGAGCAGAGAGACAAAAATCCTATACAAAATGTTAGCAAATTAAATCTGGCAGTATGTAAAAAGGATAAACAGCATGACTGAATGGGACTTATTCCAGGAGCATGTTTATTTATCACATTAACACAGTGAAGGAGGAAAATGCTATTAACTTAATGAGTAGGGAAAACAGTTTGATAAAATGTACCACCTGTTCGTAAAAAAAGACATATCAGCAAACTAGTAATAGAAAATAATTTCTTTAATCTAATAAAGGATATCTATCAACACTCTATAGCCATATCATACTTCATGGTGCAGTAGTGATCACTCCCCCACCTCCCCTGAGATTAGAAGCAAGATAAGGATGTCCAGTGTTACCACTTTTATAAATGAATTTAGCAAAGTTGCCAAATACATGTAAAAACAATATTTTAAAAATCAACTCTATTTCTATAAAGTAGCAACAAACAATTAAAAAGTGAAAATTTAAAAGATACCATTTAGAATAGTATCAAATGCGTAGGAATAAACCTAACAAAAGATCTGCAAGACTCTACACTCAAAACTACAGAACATTGCTCAGAAAAATTCAAGGCCTGCATAAATGGAGCAATATATAATATACACGGACTGGAAAACAATATAATTATCTTAATTCTCCCCCAAATCCAATTGATTACAGTCAGAATTCCAGCAAGTTTTTATTTTTATTTTTATTTATTTATTTTTTTATGTGGAGGAGGGATGGGGGAGATTGATAAGCTTTAAAGTTACAGTGTGTCACTTAATGACAGGGATACATTCTGAGAAGCGGGTTAGGCAATTTTGTTGTTATGAACATCATAGCGTATACTTACACAAACTTAGATAATACAGCCTACTACATACCTAGGCTGTGCAGTAAAGCCTATTGCTCTTAGGCTACATCCCCATACCATGTGTTACTGTATCCAGTTGTAACACAATGCTAAGTATTTGTGTATCTAAATATAGAAGAGTTTCAGTAAAAATACACCATTAAAGGTAAAAAATGATATACCTGAATGGGACACTTACCATGAATAGAACTTGCAGGACTGGAAGTTGCCCTGGGTGAGTCAGTGAGTGAGTGGTGAGTGAATGTGAAGGCCCAGGACATTACTATACACTAAGACATTACAAACATTGTACACATAGGCTACACTAAATTGTTTTGTAAAAGTGATTTTTTACTTTATGATGATATGACATTATTGGGAATTATTTAACTCTGCTATAATCTTATAGGACTGCTGTCATACATATGGTCCATTGTTGATCAAAATGTCATTATGTGGCACATGATTGCATATGAAAGTACAAAGGATCTAGAACAGCAACTAAGAAAGCTAGAGTAATGAAGATAGTGTCGTGTTGTTCAAGGTTAAATAGATAAATAGAGCAGAATAGAGCCCACAAACAGATCCACTGAGAAACAATCACCTAACTTAAGATAAATCTGGCAGTATAATGCAGTGCAGAAAGGATCGTGTTTTCAACAACCTATTCCTTTTAAACTTTTTGTGTCTCTTTATTTAAAGTGTATCTCCTATATATTATATAATTTTGTCTTCTTAGTGATCCAAACTGAAAATCTTTGCCTTTTAACTAGTGCTTAGTTCATTTACATTTAATGTAATTCCTAATATAGTTGGGTTTTTAATTTGTTCTTTGTTCCTTTTTTGCCTTCTTTTGGATGGAATCTTTTTTTATTCCTTAATCTCTCCATTTTATGTACATCTACATTTTTATTTACATTATACCTTTTATAACTATTTTTAGATGGTTGATTAAATAAACTTTTCCTTTCAAATGATTGTCAAGTGGTATAACAGAACTACTCCCTCGAAGGTGAAATAGAGTGCAAATAACAGATACACTACTTTCTCAGTTAAGTCTTATAGATGTCATTAGTGAAGGATCTTTTTAACTCATTACTTATTAGTGAATACCTTAATGATGATCATTCAAGCTAGCTGTGGTCAGACGCTATAAGAGAAAAGATACAGGGAAGGCATCTGTGAATGGGAGCTCAAGGAAAGTGGCATCTCTTCATTATCCTTATGGGGCCAGTGAGCCAGAGGCAGAAACTAGACCTGTTTTCTTTGCACTGACACTGTTAGGTTCTTAGCCTGACATCTGTGGATGGACACTGGAGATTGGTCCATGGCATTCTGCAAAATTTGAACTATACCTATATATTAATTTTTATAATGAGATTCTCCAAGGGTTATTATGACCCTAAAGGGATTAATAATCTCTGGGTTGCAGATTTGCAGATACATAAATTAAACATGTTGGTTTAACAAATTATTTCAAAAATGTTATGATAGTAAACTATCATTAGGCTTAATGTGTTATCTTGCTCTAACTGTGAAGTACTGTATATTATCTTAATTCTATGTCCCTATGATTCCCATTCTGTTTAAAGGAATGAACAGGCTTAGGCATACAAATATTTGTGCAGCAGACACAGCCTATAAGTGACAAAATTGAGATTTAGATGCAGATTTCTAATTAATCTGTTTACTGCATCCTCCATTATTAATGAAAAATGAATTTTGCCCAATAAATGACAAACTATCAAAAACCTATCTTTGTGAAAACTCAGTTCCACCAAAGAATACCTTGTGTTATTGTCTACTATGAAGGAACGTTTTTTAACTGTCTTTCCCGCCCCTGCACACACACACATAGTTTAAATTAGAAGATGCTCACATAAATACTTGCTTTCTTTTTCTTTTCTTTTTTTTCTGGAGACGGTCTTGCTTTGCTCAGGCTGGAGTACAGTGGCAGAATCTTGGCTCACTGTGACTTCCACGTCCCAAGTTGAAGCAATTCTCGTGCCTTAGCCTCCCAAGGAGCTGGGACTGCAGGCGCCTGCTACCACGCCCAGCAGTATTATTTTAGTAGAGACAAGGTTGCCCAGGGTAATTTCGAACTCCTGAGCTCAAGTGGTCTGCCCACCTTGGCCTCCCAAAGTGCTGAGATTACAGGCGTGAGCCACCGCACCTGGCCAATACTTGCTTTCTTTCTGAAAGTAGTTGTGGCTGTTGAGAGGGCGCTTGATTTGAGCTGGCTGTGAAATTGCAATAGCTTATGTGTTGTGATAGGCCTATAAAGTAGAGAAAATAGTACCTGTCTTACCTATTTCAGAGGGTTCATGAAGGTCAAACAAGGCATATTTGTAAATGCTTCAGAAACTTTAGCTCCTTAAAAACGAGTAGACAAGGCGGGTGTACTCATGCCTGTAATTCCAGCACCGTGGGAGGCCGAGGTGGGTGGATCACCTGAGGTCAGGAGTTCGAGACCATCCTGGCCAACACAGTGAAACCTTGTCTCTACAAAAATACAAAAATTAGCCAGGCTGATGGTGGGTGCCTGTAATCCCAGCTACTTGGGAGGCTGAGGCAGGGGAATCACTTGAAACTGGGAGGTGGAAGTTGCAGTGAGCCAGGATCATGCCATTGCACTCCAGCCTGGGCGACAGAGCAAGACTCCGTCTCAAAAGAAAATAAAATGAGTAGACAAGAGTGAACATACTTGATAAACTCTAAGAAACACTTTCAGCTGGGCGCAGTGGCTCACATCTGTAACCCCAGCACTTTGTGAGGCAGAGGTGGGCAGATCACGAGGTCAGAAGATCGAGACCATCCTGGCCAACATGGTGAAACCTTGTCTCTACTAAAAATACAAAAATTAGCTGGGCATGGTGGCACGTGCCTATAATCCCAGCTACTTGGGAAGCTAAGGCAGGAAAATCGCTTGAACCTGGGAGGTGGAGGTGGCAGTCAGCTGAGATAATGCCATTGCACTCCAGCCTGGTGATAGAGCGAGACACTGTTTCCAAAAAAAAAAAAAAAACACTTTCATGTACAATAGAAGAACGAAAGAATGCTGCCAGTTAAATTGGCCTTTAATGATGATACTATGCAGCCCAATTTCAGAAGGATAACAATATGGGTAGAAATTTGCAGTGTAGAATCAATAAGGTGTGGTATATTGTGGTTGCTGTCCTTCTAAAGTTCTATCATAGGCTTCCCTGTCTTTGGAAGTCACTGGAATTTCTTTTATTTTGGTCTATTTAATGTACTAGGCTACAAGTGATCAATTTTACAACTAAGTTTCTTTTGTATTTAGTAGTCTTTTTCAGAATTTTCTTGGAAGGTCAGTGCCTTTTATGTTAAAAATTGCAATTTTCTTACTCCAGAAAGATGAAGGGGATGTCCAGACATTCACAAATGGCAAAGATCAGAAGTCCTGGCAAGAATCACAAATGGAAAAACGACAATGCTAGACAGAGAGCAGTCACTGGATCAGGCAATCACTTGTGTGATTTGAAGCCAGAAGGTCCACCTGAGGCAAATGCAGATCCTCTTGGTGTTTTGATAAACAGTGATTCTGGTAAGCTAAACAGGAAAATAACATTTATAAGTGTATAGACAATGATGCTGAAGTTGATTATTCACAGCCTTGTTTGTGGAAAGTTTAATATCAAATGTGTAACAATGCAGAATGATGCTTTTGTTTTGTTTTTAATAGGAGCATCTTGTTTAAAATGTCATTTCAGAACATCTTTTCTAAGTCTTGGGTGGGTACATGGGGAAGGGAGGCTATAGGAGAAAGATTGTTGTTGCTGGATAATTTTCATTAGTATGATGTAACCTTAGAAATTTCTTAAGATTGTTTTGAATGTATTAATGCTGTACATTCACGTTTGCTCAAATATGTGGATTTTCCCTTTACCTATAAAGCAGCAATTCTAATGGAAGTCAGTATACTTTATGCTACTGAGCATGAGCATGATTTCTGGGCAAAAAGTACTAATTCATTATGTTTGATTAGTACTGTTCTTCTTCAGAGCATAGGTTATATTTTTATATATTTGTCCTTGAATTTCCTGTAAAATGTATAAGGCAAGTTACCTTGCTTATTAGTTGAAAAATAAAAGCATTAAAATGCTGCTATCACATACAGATATCATTTAGCCTTTGAGACTCCATTTCTCTTCCTGAAAAATGAAATGTATATGTAAATATTTATACTACCTATTCCTCCAGTAACATTGTGATGCTTTATCTAATTGCATATGCTTTGTACTGCAAAGGAATACCCAAAGATTATTAGTGAGTGAACTGACATTACTGACATTGTAGATTCGATTGTAGCCTGTTTAACTTGGATGATGTTGGCTTCTATGATAATCACATGGCAAGTTTTTGAACTTATGAATGGCAAGAAAAGAAAGGATAACTAATTCGCTGACTGAATTAGGATGGAAAAAGATCATTGCATAAGGGAACATTAGACTAAGTGGAAGATAAAATTTAGTAAAAACATTAATGATAAGTTAATATCAACTAACACTTATTGAATAAGGCACTTACTGAGTTCTATATGCTTTATATAGATGAAGTCTTCTCATGACAACCTTTTACACATATACCATTATTGTTTCCATTTTAGAAATGAGGAACATAGAGACTACGTATGCTTATGCCATTGAAAGTAATAGTAAAAAATGCAGTTACTTTTGCATCAACCTAATAGTTTACCTGAGTCATTCTACTCATTAGTGGCAGATTGAGAATTTGAATGTATGAGTCTCACTCCGCCAGTACACTGCACATCCTCTAAATATGAAGTCTGAATTTGTGTAAAAAAATATTGTTTGAGTCTAGGGTAGTTGAGATGTGAGAGAGAGCAAGAAGAAGGCAGATGGTATTTTGAGCCAGTGCTGAGTTGACTCTTGGGCACTGATTTTTTGTTGTTGTTGTTTTCTTTCAAAAAATTTTAGAGAGAGATCACTTGCTTCTTCAGACTTGTAATGTGTGGCCTTGATGACAAAAGACCATCTGTACTCAAATATAAGCTTTTATGTCATTAAAACACTTAAAACACAAATGTGAAGACTACCATTATAATCAGTAAGTTACAAATTTGAAAATTATGTAATTCTTTTACTTTGTGCAATTTTCTAAATGAACACTTGAAGGACTAAGACTCTGATATTGGATAATCTTTATTGTCTTCATTTTGTTAACTTAGCTTTGGTAGATGGTTAATACTGTTTTCCCTTTTTTTAAAAAAAAAAGTATTTCAGTATGTACTCATCTAGTAAAACACCAACTAAAAGACGGTTGTATCTTGCTTCTATTTAAGCTTGTCTTAGTCCTCAATAGATGCCTTAGACATGAGAAACAGTGGTAAATCCTCTCATCCTTATTGGTAGAAATAAGTCAGTTGGATTCTGAGAAGCAGTTGAAAGAGAGATCTCAGGCCGGGTGTGGTGGCTCACGCCTGTAATCCCAGCACTTTGGGAAGCTGAGGCAAGTGGATCAGCTGAAGTCAGGAGTTCGAGACCAGCCTGGCCAACATGATGAAACCCCCTCTCTACTAAAAATACAAAAATTAGCCGGGCGTGATGGCGCATGCTTGTAATCCCAGCTACTTGGGAGGCTGAGGCAGGAGAATCACTTGAACCCACAAGGTGGAGGTTGCAGTGAGCTGAGATCACACCATTGCACTCTAGCCTGGGCGACAGAGCAAGACTCGGTCTCAAAAAAAAAAAAGAGATCTCAAATAATTTTGTTTTGGTTTAAATGTTGAAACCCTTACCTATAATGAGGGTCAAGGATGGGAACATGCCTGTTTCGAGTGTCAAAGATGAGAACATATATCTTGAATATAAAAATTACCCATATAAGCTACAAATTTATAATTTTGAATATTTAAAAATTTATTAATTTTTATAATATTGTATTATAACCAAGGAAATCACAATGCCAATGATCAAATTATGGTAGCTTAATTTTGTAGGAAAGCTGTCATTTAAATTCACCTTATCTTGTACCTGGGATTTCCTCTGGACTTTGATATTTTCCAAATCTGTTTTAGGCCAGGGGTATACTTCCTTGGCCTATTAGGAACCCCAGCGGGGAGCGGGGATGGGGAGGCGGGGAGCAGCGAGCAAGCATGGCTTCATCTGTATTTACACCCATTCCCTATTGCCTGCCTTACTACCTGTGAGCTCCGCCTCCTGTCAGATGAGTGGCAGCATTAGATTCTCATAGGAGCGTGAACCCTGTTGTGAACTGCACACGAGGGATTTAGGTTGTGTGCTCCTTATGAGAATCTAATGCCTGATTATCTGTCAGTGTCTCCCATCATCCCAACATGGGACCGTCTAGTTGCAGGAAAACAAGCTCACTCCCACTGATTCTACATTATGGTGCATTGTACAATTATTTTATTATATATTACAATGTAATAATAATAGAAATAAAGTACACAGTAAATGTAATGTGCTGAATCATCCCGAAACCATCCGCAATCCATGCACCTCTGTCCTTGGAAAAATTGTCTTCCACAAAACTGGTCCCTCATGCCAAAAAGGCTGGGGACCGTTGTTTTAAGCCATATAGGTTCTTTAACTTTTCACTGCAGGTATAGCTACAGACACTCCATCCCCCTGTTTTCATATGTCCTAAGTCAGGCTCGTCCATGGCCCACAGGCTGTATTCCCCCAAGGATGGCTTTGAATGCAGCCCAATACAAATTTGTAAACTTCCTTAAAATATGAGATTCTTTTGTGTGATTTTTGTTTTTTTTAAGCTCATCAGCTGTTAGTGTGTTTTATGTGTGGCCCAAGACAATTCTTCCATTGTGGCCCAGGGAAGCCAAAAGATTGGATACCGCTGCCCTAAATATTCTCCACTCTCCAATATGTTTTCCACTTGTTTGGAGGCAACTTCTCTTACCTTGGGCCAGAACCAGCCAACCTTAAAATCTGGTTATTCAAGTTGTTAGTGGCAGGCCAGTGGCCAGCATTGTGATAACATGACCCACTGTTCTCATATGGCAGTTGACACTTTTCAGCACTAAGCTCACTTTAATAATAAAGTTCTCCCAATTGCTTCCATTTTTTGCCTTTTTCTGGCTCAGAACTTAATCCAGACATCAGCACTCACATTTTAAACAAGACTCAAGTTCTAGAGGATTTTCAGAAATTTCAGATCATGCTTGGAAAATCATTGCCTGGGCTTACCTTTTCTTTATTGTATTTGGTGCTATGTGTACTCTCAGTAATTGTGCAGCTACTTTGAATTGAGAATTGACGTTGTTTTGATGGGAAAGCCTTTTATTTAAAGGAGTCTCCCAATTTATCAGTTTTGAGTGTGGTTTATTGTCTGTCATTAGATTTCCTTACTAGCATATTTTTTATTTCCTTGTGTATTCTGCTGACTGGCCTAACTTAAGGATTGTTTTTTCTTTGTTTGATTTGGTATCTCATTAGTTAGCATCCAGTTCATTTTGTTGCCATTGTTTAAATACATATGCAACAAGTTTATGGCTTTCCTGGCCTGTAGTTTTAAACAATAAGTCAGTTGTCTGAGCTAGAAAGAAAGCGGGTCAGTAAGGTGGCATTGAGCATCTATGACTGAAGTGCCTCAGTATCCACAAGACAAAGGCAATCCAACTTATTAGTCATTTGTTAAAATATAGCTGTTGTCATAGAACGCTGGGACATAAGTCTAACTGCACACTCACATAACCTAGGTTGTTTTAAAGGTAGGCATTAAAGTAAGAAAATAAGCTGGCCCAGCACATCAGGCGTCATGGATACCCCTTGTTAACTGCCTTCTTTGAGAGTTGGAGACTATAAAGCAAAGTCCCTATTTTTGAGGGTGACTTTTTTTTTTTTTTTTTTTTGAGACGGAGTTTCGCTCTGTCACCCAGGCTGGAGTGCAGTGGCCAGATCTCAGCTCACTACAAGCTCCGCCTCCCGGGTTCACACCATTCTCCTGCCTCAGCCTCCCAAGTAGCTGGGACTACAGGCGCCCGCCACCTTGCCCGGCTAGTTTTTTGTACTTTTTAGTAGAGACGGGGTTTCACCATGTTAGCCAGGATGGTCTCGATCTCCTGACCTCGTGATCCGCCCGTCTCGGCCTCCCAAAGTGCTGGGATTACAGGCTTGAGCCACCGCGCCCGGCCGAGGGTGACTTTTAAACATTTAAGCATTATCATTATTATTATTATTATTAAACATTTTAAACTTTTAAGCATTTTTTAAAGAATACTTAATTACAAATCTTGGGCTTGAGCATATTATTGTGCTTTGCTCCATAAAGGCAATAGGAAATAGTGGGATGGGGTTGGTGGGTGGGGGGTACGGATAAGTAAGTAAAGAAATAAGTTACAGAAAGAAGCCAGATAGGAAGTTTTACAGCTGGTGTTTAGAGTGGACAAGACATTCAAAGGGCAATGTTATTTTGCTACTTTCCTTTTGGTGGGGATTTATAAGGTCCTGCGTTTGGCTTACCCAGCACTGTAATTCACTATAATGCCGAGGATTTCAAAGGAGTCTCCCTGACTTCCAGAAACTCATAGTCTAAGGATAATTTTTAAGATGATTGCATTAGATTATTTTTTGGGATGGTGGGAACATGATGTGTATATATGAGAGAGAGGTGAGATTTACCCTAAGAACAGTGTCGCTAATGTTTTAATGGTAAGAGAAATTGTTAGAGCTTGTATTTTATAAAAATGCTGAAGTCTGGTTTTATCAGATCAATTGCTGCTATCTCTATACTAGTATTTTCAGTTTAGAAAGATGTTTTAGCAGCTTTTTAAAAATGAAGTTTCTTGAGTATTATTTTGTCAGCCAGTACAATGCCTTCAGCATAGTCTTTACAGATAGGTGCTAAAAATGCCTGCATTGGAGCTGCTAGGTAGATCCCAGGGACTGTTTTTTGTTTTTTTTTTTAAGATGAAAAGTCACTGTAGAAGATGTTCTGATAGTGCCAAAAGGACAGTATTTTTCGAAGTGTTATTACATGTGGTTTGTCCCTTAAACATTTAACTGAGTGGAGAAGAAAACATAGGGAAAGAGTTATTTTGTGAATTTGTAACTTACCCTTTGGGTAAGTCAAGTATAGTGAGCTTTGACACTCTTAGGAACAAGTACACCTAGGTCTCTAATTGTGGTTTCCAAATGCTGTTCTCCAGGTAAAGGAACCAGAGCCTCTTGGAGAAATGGCTAATTCTGGGGTTGGGACAGGGAAAATATAAACTGAACCTAGAGCATCTCATAGTACCAGAAAGTAAGAAAATACTCAAAAAATGTGAAGGTGTGGGCATGTCAGAAGGATACTAGAAAGAGTTCTCAAGGGCCAAAGTTGGAACAATTGGTGCCACAAAATAAATCATAATAAATTATAACCCTCAGAATAGAATAAATATCCATGAGTCTATACTGATATCAGTGCCTAAATAAATAAATAAATGTGGGGGAGGAGGGACAGATCTTTCTTACAAAAGAATTCTAATTATTAAATGTAGAAGAAATGAGAGAAATAGCAAGTCAGCATGAGAGCACCAATAATTGTTTTGGGCAAGATCCACTGATGAATGGTAAAATTAGTGGTGAAACGTTAAAATGAAACAATATTTGCTATAGCATCAAAATATCTCCCCCCAAAATATTTATTTATTAATTATTAATTACCGTGGTTTTAACATATGTCCAAAATTCTTTGATATTCCTTACTTGAGTTGAAACTTAATTCTTCTTCCCAGGAGTGTGAACTAAACTTAGTAACTCATTTCAAAAAATATAATAATGAAAGAGAAAAATTGTAACTTTGTAGTAGAGAACGCAGGCAGACCATCAAGCAGTCCAAGTCAACATGACCAGTAACAACAAGTCTTACTGATATCATGGACCTGGGATGTGATGAGAAGGGCACATCTCTGTGGTATTCCTCCCCAGAATCCATAGTCTCAGTCTAATCTTCAAAAATGTCAGACAGACCCAAACTGAGGGACATTCTAAAAATACCTGACAATAATCTTCAAAGTGTCAAGTTCGTAAAAAAACAAGGAAAGACTGAGAAACTGTCACAGATTTAGAAAAGATTAAGGAGTCATGACAACCGAATGCAGTGTAGTATAGCAGATTGTATCCTGGAACAGAAAAAGGACGTTAGTGGAAAAGCTGGTGAAATTACATTACAGTCTGTAGTTTAAATACTAGTGTGGTACCAGTGTTAACTTCTTAGCTATAATAAGGTACTTTAGTTATGTAAGATGGTAACATTAGGGAAGCTGCATGAAGGGTGTATGGAGACTCTGTACTATCTTTGCAGCATTTGTATAAATCCAAAATTGTTTCAAAATACAAAGTTTGAAAAAGAAGCCAGGAAGGAAAGGACATTAAAGCCTTGCCCTCTGCTTCATGAATTGGATTGTGAGGAATAGTTTTCCAGAGTCAGTTTCTCTTTGTTTTTTTTTTTTTTTTTTCTGTTATTTTCTGATTATAAAAGTAATACAGAAAATGTGGAAGCTGGGCATAGTGACTCACGCCTATAATCCCAGCACTTTGGGAGGCCAAGGGGGGCAGATCACTTGAGGTAAGGAGTTCGAGACCAGCCTGGCCAACATGGTGAAACTCTGTCTCTACTAAAACTACAAAAATTAGCCCGGCGTGGTGGCAAGTGCCTGTAATTCCAGCTGCTCAGGTGGCTAAGGGGAGAATCGCTTGAACTCAGGAGGTGGAATGCACTGCACTCCAGCCTGGGCAGCAGAGTGAAACTCCATCTCAAAAAAAACAAAAACGAACAAACAAACAAAAAACAGAATTATAAAGATGAGTGAAGCTGAGTAAAATAATAGAGAATAGTGGTCAGAGAAGGGGATATGCTCTTTTATCTGAAGTGATCAGTAAAGGCATCTCTGATAAGGTGACATTAAGACATCTGAATGAAATGTGGGGCCGATACCTAAAGGAATAGCAGTCAAGGCAGAGAGACTGCCACAGTCACCCCAGCCTTTAGTGACCACAACCCTGATCAGTCAGCAGCCAGCAACATCAAGGCAAGACCCTCCGTCAGCAAAAATATCACAACTTCCTGAAGTCTCAGATGAGTTTTAGCATTTTTTAGCAATGAAATATTTTTAAATTAAGGTACAAGCATTATGTTTTAAAACATAATGCTATTGCACATTTCATATGCTATAGTGTAGTGTAAACATAACTTTTATATGCACTGAGAAACCAGAAAATGTGTGTGACTTGCTTTATTGCTGTATTCACTTGATTCCAGTGGTCTGGAACCAAATCCACAATATCTCCAAGGTATGATTGCATATCAAATAACTGTTTAGAGTTTTACTATAAAAGGGAAGAAAGAAATGGAGCTATGGCTGGGAGACATTGTTAGCATTATTGTGGACCATAAAAACACTTTGATAGGATGGCTTCATTTTAAGAAGACTATATGTCTGTGGGAAGCATTCTAGCTCACTGATAACAATTTGGATTTGGAGTCAGATAGCCAGGCTTTAAATTTGACCTAACTGATTTATAGTTGTCTTAAGGAAAAGTACTCAAAATCTCTGGATTTTTGTTTCATCACTCATCACATACCTCGTAAGGATTAGGTCAGGTCATGCTTTTGAAGAACATAATATTCAACTATTACTGTAATTTTTGTTACCTCTCTTTGAGTCTTGGAAATAAATGCTACAGTTTGGTCTTTCATCATTCAACCAATGAATGGAAAGTCTGCATACTAACACTGTGGTAGATTTCTGCTTAATCTACTCGTAATTCACATAAACTGCATACTTTCCTTTCCCTTTATTAATCAAGGAGAAAAGGTAATGTAGCTTAAAATTGACAAGGAGTACTTTTATAGGTATGATGGTGGGTAGTGAGGAGAGAGGATTTAGCTTCATCCAGCAGAAGGTGGCAGTTGAACATTCACACAGAAAGAGACTCCCATTTCCTACTGGCATGCTTTGGTTTCCCCTAGACTGGCTTGGTGAACATTAAATGCTTAGTCTTGAAACATTTTATCTTGGTTTTGGGTTGAGTTGGTTAATTAAATAGACAAATTACTTATTGTCTTCAGTGAGGCCTTATTTTTATTGGTTGTCTAGAATAGAGTTAATAGATTGTTAGAGCTGCCAAAAAGAAATGTAATAGGTGGTGTCCTGGGGCTACAACTAGGCTTGCTGGGCCTGGATCAGACACTTTACATTTGGCAGGCACTTGAGTATTATGCTTGGTAAATTCTCATGGTTGCCTTGTTTATTTAAGTTCTTGTTTATTTAAGTTTTAAATAATAAAAACTTTGGGTGGGCTGGTCACAGTGACTCACACCTGTAATCTCAGCACTTTGGGAGGCCAAGGCAAGTGGATCAACTTGGGGCCAGGAGTTTGAGACCAGCCTGGCCAACATGGTGAAACCCCATCTCTACTAAAAATACAAAAAATTAGCCGGGCATAGTGGCACACACCTGTAATCCCAGCTACTCAGGAGGCTGAGGTAAGATAATTGCTTGGGCCTGGCAGGCAGAGGTTGTGGTGAGCCGAGATTATGCCACTGCACTCCAACCTGTGTGACACAGCAAGACTCTGTCTCTAAAAAACTTTGGGTGGATTAATTTCAGCATTACTGTTTGACTAAGCCTATAGAAATGCTTTGAATATTATTTAGATCCTGAAAAACAGTCTTAAAAACAGTTAAAAGCATAGGTATGTTAATATTTCATTTATTTCTAAACCTAATTTTCAGAGGCAGTGATCCCAATCCAGTGAAGTTAAATAAAGTTTGGGCCTTCCTACTACTTGTAAATGAACAGCAAAGACTATGTAATTAAGTTAATTTAGAGTATGCTCAGATTGTATAACCTGTGAAGCATGCTGAGTAACTGAGCTCTATATAGTTTCCTTTCCCCCCACTGTCTCCTCTGGGGCAAATGGTTTCTTGGCCCATGAAGATGTGTAAACCAGGGGGAAGTGTTCCTGGCCTCCTAGAATTCGTTTTTTGGAAAGATTAAGGAAATGATCAGAAATTACTTAATTTTCACTAACAAATGTGGGAGTGGGGGATGGTCAGCTTTTTTATAGTGGTAGATGTTTTGAATCTGAGTTCTTTTCCCTTCAGAGTCTGATAAGGAGGAGAAACCACAACGCTCTGTGATACCCAAGGAAGTGACACCAGCCCTATGCTCACTAATGAGTAGCTATGGCAGTCTTTCAGGGTCAGAGAGTGAGCCAGAAGGTAAGTCATGGTGTATGTTGTTACAGGGTTTTGTTTTGTTGCTTTTTGCCTTTGGTGCATGCTGCACATTAATAGCATCCAGGATGTGCATTCTTTATTTGGTCTTCAAATTCCTTTTTCGTTTGAATCAGAAGTAAAGTTAACTTGGGTTAAAGGAACTCTGGAGTAATAAAGAAATGTGTTACTACTCCGGGAATAAAAAAGCAAAAATACAATATAATGAAAGAATTGGAAGGAAAAGAGAAAATATCCACTAATAGAATTGAAGAAAATTCTAAAAGAAATGGCAAAAAGAAAATTCATTTTTTTCTTTTTGCTCTCAAGAACCTTTATTATAACGTGTTTATAGCATCTTTGGTAGATGGAGAGAGATCCTTTATGACAAAGAATGCGATACAATTTTTTTAATGCATATAGGGCATTGTTCTTCCTAGAGCATATTTACATAAATGATCTCACTTGGAATACACAACCTTATACTTGTGGTTGCATTAGCTTGTGCATTTTAAAGGTCAGAAGAAATTGAATCTTTTCACGAGTCTTTCTGAGAAGTCAGTAACATTCAGGATACATGTCTTACCTTTAAAGATGATGTTACAGATGGTAACGTGTGCGGCTTCATTGTGAAATTTAATTGTGATAAACCAGTTTAATTTCCTACAGCATCTCTTTCAGAGCTACCTGAAAGAGCCGTGAGTAGGCTCTTGATCTGATGCAGTGTAGCAGTTTTTAATCCAAGGTTTATATCAATAATCCAGCATATGTTTAATGAATAAATCTGTGTCCTACTGTTGTGGATACCTGGCTCTGTGTGGTAATTTTATTTAGACTTTACTGGCCGTGAGAGAATTCATGTGTATGTCTCAGGACAAGATGTGTAATCAAAGTAGGAGCTGTACTGAGGATAAGAATACAGGTCTGTAAGTGTTTATATAGAATGAAGAGAAGATTCAAATGTAATTGGATGGGCGGGGCACGGTGGCTCAACGCCTGTAATCCTAGCACTTTGGGAGGCCGAAGAGGGTGGATCGCCTGAGGTCAGGAGTTCGAGACCAGCCTGGCCAACATGGTGAAACCCCTTCTCTACAAAAAATACAAAAGTTAGCCGGGCATGGCAGTGCATGCCTGTAGTCCCAGTACCCAGGAGGCTGAGGCAGGAGAATTGCTTGAACCCAGGAGGCAGAGGTTGCAGTGAGGCGAGATCGTGCCACTGCACTCCAGCCTGGGTGACAGTGAGACTCTGACTCAAAAAAAAAAAAAAAAGGAAATGTAGTTTGATGGAGATGGCAGCACTTTTAATGTTGACTAGGCTAGAGATAATCAATGTTTATGTATTTGGAAGATGTTGAATAAGGAGCCATTAGGCTTTAATATAAAAAATGATGTTTATATGTATCTGTAACATGGGAAGTTTTTTCTTTTTTAAGTGGGCCATGGCTTACTATGGTAGCTTCTTAATAGCTACTTGAATTTTGAAATATAAGCTACTTTGGCTTTATCAGAGTATTCCTTAACAGATGGTTGCCTCATTTTAATTTTAAGAAAAACAGTGTTTTTTTGTAGTCTTGTTTCTCATACACTGGTATGAAGATGGAGTTATTCTTTAAACACATATTACATTTCCTACTTATCAGTTGTATTCATAACAGGTGATAACAAAGAAAACTATTACCAGAATTACAGAATCCCATAACAACGGGCTGTACTAATGCTTGCTTCTCTGTTTCTTAAGATGGAACAGTATTTTTATACTCATACCTTCATTTTGAGACTGCCATCATTTTAAATTGCAAGAAAGGAAACTGGAAGGGATCTTTGAGATCACCTCTTTATTTTATAGAACCTTAAGCATAGAAAGGATAAGCTTGGTTGGGCGCGGTGGCTCATGCCTGCAATCCCAGCACTTTGGGAGACTGAGGCGGGCGGATCACCTGAGGTTAGGAGTTCAAGACCAGTCTGGTCAACATGATGAAACCCTGTCTCTACTAAAAATACAGAAATTAGCCTGGCGTGGTGTTGCGCACCTGTAATCCCAGCTACTCGAGAGGCTGAGACAGGAGAATTGCTTGAACCCAGAAGGCAGAGGTTGCAGTGAGCCAAGATCACACCACTGCACTCCAGCCTAGGCAACAGAGTGAAACTTCATCTCTAAATAAATAAATAAAATTAAAAAATAAAATGGAAAAAACTTGGCAAGCTATTATGTAGCAGACCTGACATATAGGTTTGGAGACTTAAAAGTCCAAAGAAACCAACTTACCTTGCCTTCCATTATAGTCTTTCTGTCTTTGGCATTTACTGTCATCCTGCACAGTAATGCGTAGACTTTTATAGATAACAGAGGATATTATCTGTTAAATTATATATGATTTTGTGTGAATTTATTTTGACTAATTGTTAAAATGTCCTGCTTTAAGGAAAAAACCCTTGCTTCACATTCCTAAGTCTTAAGAATTATTTTATGTAGTTTGAATTCAGCTTTATTAAGCCATCCATATCACTAGCAAATTTCTAGCTTTCAGTATTAATTCTGGGATCTAGGATGGGATATTGACACATAGGGAGTTTTAAATTAATAAACCAAGGAAACAAAGTGGTCTTTTAACCATGGAATAGTATCTAGAAGACTGCTTATTTACCTGGATTATAAATGTATAGGAACAATCTGTTTCTTCCTAACAGAGTTTAACAATTGTGTCTTCATAATTAAGATCTGTCTTGACTTAAGAATTAGCATAAAAGTGTTTGGAATCTTAAACATGAATAGCATTTTTTCTGGAAAGATATTTAAACAAAGAAAGGGTCCCTCAAGTAAGACTGAAGCAAAGAAAGAGGTAATAACATCTGGGACTGTAAGAATCACTAAGATATAAATTTAATAAGAAATATTTCCAAATGGGTTGGTTTAATATCTGTTCTGCATGTTAGCATTTTAGCATTTTTTAAACTGTATTAGAATTTAACACAGTTTTACAACTCCCCAGAATTATGTTTCCTTAAACTGATTTGGCTATGATGGGGAGATTTCCAAATTAAAGACTATTTCAGAAGGCCACAAACCAAAAAGTGTGTTAAGCGTTTGATAGAACCGAACGGGCTATATTTAAAATGTAATTGGTCAACATTACATTAATATATGACACTTAGCTGGGAAATGTTGTAAATCTCAAGAAAGAGAAAAATATAAATGTTAGTCCCTGTCTTCATTTCTTAGCAGAAAATTGGCAGTTATAAGCTCTGATTCATTTGACTTTGTGTTCCTGATTTGAGTGATTGATACTTGAGGTAGAAGGAAATAATAGAAAATAGTGTCCTGGTTTTTCTTATTTATCATCTCTGTTTTATAGATGAAGATATTTAGGTAGAGATAAATAGCTTGCCCAAAGGTCACACAGCTAGTAAATGATGGAACTAGGACTTGAACCTAACAGTCTGGCACCAGAGTCTGCTTTTAACACTTGTTGCTATACTTCTTTTCAAATATAATTTCTACATTCAGTCGTATGTAATGTTTGAGTATTATGGGTTTTGCCACTCTTGTCTAGGCAATTGAACCCTGTCTCCCAGCTTCTAGAATATAATTCTTTATCTCATATCACATTCACTTATAGTAAGTAAGTAGTATAACCATTGGAGAAGGGGGAGAGGTGAAGATTCTGAGCTTAAAATTTGTGAATTTTCAGCTGTTCATATGGTTTTTCTCCTTTATTCTGTTAATAATGGTGAAATGTCCATTGATTTTTCAAATGTCAAACCAGCCTGTATTCCCAGGATAAAATCTACTTGGTCATGGTCTATTACCCTTTTAATACATTAATGGATTTGATTTGCTAATACTTTATTAAGGAGTCTTGCATACATGTTCATGAAGGATATTGGTCTTTGGTTTTCTTTTATTATAATAGATTTGGTATGAGTAGGGATCTATTTCCTTCTCTTTTTTAAGGTTTTGTTTAGGATTTCTACCAGTTTTTCTTTTCTTGTTTGTAGAATTCAGTAGTGAAGCCATTTTGTTTTTGGGAATGTTTTAAATTATGAATTAAATTTCCTTAATAGGTACAGAACTATTCATATTTTCCTATTTCTTCTTGAGTGGGTTTCAGTAATTCGTGTTTTTCAAAAGAATTTACTTCACCTAAGTTGTTAATTTATTGGTATATAGTTCATAATATTTCCTGTGATATCTGTAGGATCTATGATGATGTCCTCCTCTTTTATTTCTCCAAGTTGTTAATTGATTCTTTTCTCAAAAAATCTTGGTGCATTTATTAATTTTATTAATCTTTTCAATGAACCAACTTCTGGCTTTGTTGGTTTTTCTCTGTGGTCATTGATTTTCACTCTAATCCACTGTTTTTCACTTTTTAGTATTTCCTCTTTCCTCAGACCCTACCACATTATAATAGAAGCTTAGATAATTGATTTTAGACTTTTCTCATTTCTGATTTAAGCACTGAAAGTCATAAATGTAACTTCATGAACTGCTTTAGCTGTAGTCCACAAATATGATACATTATGTTTTCATTTTTATTTATTTCAAAATATTTCCTAATCTCTCTTACAATTTGTTCTTTAACTTATGGTTTATTTAGAAGTGTGTTACTTAGTTTCTAAATATTTGTTTGTTTGTTTTCTAGCTAGTTTTCTGTTAATGATTTTAGTTTAATTCTGTTACGGTCAGAGAACATACCTCTATCCTTTCAATTACTTCAATTTATTGATACTTATTTTATGGCCCAACACAAGGTGAATGTTCATATGAGCTTGACAAGAAAATGTATTAGGTCGGGTGTTCTTTGTCAATTTGAGTTAATTCTTTGTGGTATTCTGTATCCATACGAATTTTTTGTCCAATTTTTCTTTAATTACTGAGATTGGAGTGTTCAAGTATTCAATCATAATAATGGGTTTGTCTATTTCTCTTCTCAGTTCCATCAGTTTTTGCTGCATGTTATATTGAAAATCTGTTTTTAGGTGTTATTGTTTTGTCTTATTGATGAATTGACCCCTTTAGCATTATGAACTGTTCCTCTTTATCCTTGGTGATGTTCACTATTCTGAAGCCTTTTTTTGTCTGACATTAATACAGCCTTTCCAGCTTTCATGTGATTGGTGTATGCTTGCTATCGTCTTTAATCCTTTTAACTTCTTTGTTTTACTTTTTAGGAGTTGGTCTGCAGTTTATAGTGTGCAGCTTAACTTTTCATAGTGTACTTTCAAATGGTATTATCTACTTCACATGTAATTCAAGAATTTTACAGCAGTATACTACTTAAATATTCCTTCTCCCTTCCTTTTTACTATTGTTGTCATAGATTTTGTTTCTATAGATGTTATAAATTCCACATACACTTAATATTTTTGCTTTAGTTTTAAAAATTTTCCAATAAGGAAAAAAAAGTCTTATATTTATTCACATATTTACTTTTCCCAGCACTTATCATTCCTTTGTATAGATCCAAGTTTCCATCTGGCATGATTTCCTTCATAGAAATCACTTTCTGTAGCTCTTCATGGTAGTCTCCTCAATTTTTGGTAGTTTAGCTTCCAATTTGAAAAATACTAGAATACATTATAAATGCCTTGCAAAAATCTTTCATAGTTTTAAGTTATTAAGTGGACAATATTATGGCTAGGAGGATTATTATGGATTTTTTGGTTGCTTTTGAAAGGTCTACCTGTTTTGTTTTGTTTATTTTTGTGTTTGTTTTTCATCACACTTAGAAACTCCCATCAAGACTGAAGCAGACGTTCTGGCAGAAAACCAGGTTCTTGATAGCAGTGCTCCTAAGAGTCCAAGTCAAGATGTTAAAGCAACTGTTAGAAATTTTTCAGAAGCCAAGAGTGAGAGCCGAAAGAAAAGTTTTAAAAAGACAAACCCTAAGAGGAAAAAAGATCATCACAACTATCAAACATTATTCGAACCAAGAACACATCATCCATATCTCTTGGAAATGGTAAATTGTTTTTCTTTCGGTTCTAATCTTTGTGTTCTCATGTCATAAAGATAGAGCCACTGGGGGGGGGGGTGGTGTGTGTGTGTGTGTGTCTGTGTGTGTGTCTGTGTGTGTGTCTGTGTCTGTGTATGTTTTAAGGTTACCAGAGACGCATTGTCCTTGGAGACTTTGTATCTTAATTCTGCAGCTACATTTGGCATATAGCTGGTATGTTCAGTGAATGTGGAATAATGTAATTTTTACAACCACTTAAAATAAAAGAATTTAGGTTTCACTAGTTGGTAAGGAAGTATCTATTGAGGTTTATTGATTTTCTTTTAAGTTTCCAGCGAGGCCGGGCGCGGTGGCTCAAGCCTGTAATCCCAGCACTTTGGGAGGCCGAGACAGGCGGATCACGAGGTCCGGAGATCGAGACCATCCTGGCTAACACGGTGAAACCCCGTCTCTACTAAAAAAAAAATACAAAAAACTAGCCGGGCGACGTGGAGGGCGCCTGTAGTCCCAGCTACTCGGGAGGCTGAGGCAGGAGAATGGCGTAAACCCGGGAGGCGGAGCTTGCAGTGAGCTGAGATCAGGCCACTGCACCCCAGCCTGGGCGACAGAGAGAGACTCCGTCTCAAAAAACAGTTTCCAGCGAAAGCACAGCTAAAAGTACAATGGCAAGCTGAAGGGAAAAAGGATTTTTAATACAAATGTCTATGGAGAACCAAAAGTAACAAAAAGGAAAGGCCTAGGGTTTTCTGACAGTTCTCACTTGTTACCTTCTGGGATTGTCTTCCTTCCCTCCCTAACCTTTTTTTTTTTTTTTTTTTTTTTAAAGAGTTGGGGTCTTGCTTTGTCACCCAAGCTGGAGTGCAGTGGTGTGATCATAGCTCACTGCTACCTCAAATTCCTGGGCTCAAGTGATCCTACTGCCCCAGCGTCCCAAGTACCTGGCACTATGGGCATGCACTACCATGCTAATTTTGTTTCTTTGTACACCTTTATTTATTTGTGTTTATTCTGTGCATTCTTGGCTTTACTCTCAGCATTATGTGCTCAAAAATCTAACAGCTTTCTTCAAATTATAAAGAGGAAGCAATGCATCTTTGAGTTCTCAGTAGTGGACATGAAGCTGTTCAAAGATCAAAGATTTTCATGTCTCAGCAATAGAAGTATCCCACATTTTTTGTTTGTTTTGATTTGAGACGGAGATCTCGCTCTGATCGCCCAGGCTGGAGTGAGTGGCCTGATCTCAGCCTCACTGCAAGCTCCGACTCCCAGGTTTGCCATTTCCTGCCTCAGCCAACCCGAGTACTTCTGGGACTACAGGACCGCCCGCCACTCGCTGGCGAGTTTTTGATATGTTTTTAGTAGAGACGGGTTATCACGGTGTTACAGGATGGTCTCGGATCTCCTGAAAAACCCGAGATCCCCAGCCGTCCTCGGCCTCCAAAGTGCTGGGATACAGGCTGAGGCACCGCCGCGGTCCGTCAATTCCCTTCCTTTAGTTGACATTCTGTGAAAAGTCTGTTTGGTTTTGACTTACAAGATAAGTACTTATTTTGTAGCTAAAGTGTTCAGTGGCTACACTCTTGAGGTGCTACGTGTAAACACAGTTGCTTCCTATTAAAATGGATCTGAAATATACGCTCCATTTTGTATAGATAGTAAATTACATTAAAAAAGTTACCTTATAATCGGTAAATTAAGTAATCTTTCCACTGAAAGTTTCTGTATGATGTTTCTGAACTCTATCAATAACATCAGAAAATAAAATCCTTTTTGGCAAATTACATATGATTCCTTGATTATGTGTTTATTCTAAATACCAGGGATTTTTAGCTTTTTAAAAATACAATAAGCACAAAAATGGAAAGTTATAAAAGTCAAGGAATGTTGGAATTTTTTTACTGCTACTTTCATTGTTACATGTAAATAGATGTACTTATCAGTTTCTAGACTGCTTATGAATTTGAGTTTGGGCAATCCTCTTTGACATTTTAGATTAAAGAATTGCAGACTTTTTAGCCAGATGTGGTGGCGCATGCCTGTAATCCCAGCTACTTGGGAGGCTGAGGCAGGAGAATCGCTTGAACCCGGGAGGCAGAGGTTGCGGTGAGCCAAGATCGCAGCATTGCACTCCAGCCTGGGTGACAAGAGCGGAATTCTGTCTCAAAAAAAAAAAAAAGAATTACAGACTATTAAATACTTTCATGTCCTATGCTAGATACTCTTAGAGAGGACTCCAAATATAAGCATTAGTACTGTTTAAAAAGCTAGATAGTCTTGATGTAACTTAAAAGGACATGTTCTTGCATTGTTTTTTAGCAAAATAGTAAATATAATATATATTTCTTATTGTTCTGTCTTCTTTGTGAGGAGAGGGTACATGCAGTATTTTAGATTGTATTTCCCAGATATAATTTATTTACCAGCTAATCTTTTTAAAAATTGTCTTTTAGCTTCTAGCTCCGGACATTCGACATGAAAGAAATGTGATTTTGCAGTGTGTTCGGTACATCATCAAAAAAGACTTTTTTGGACTGGATACTAATTCTGCAAAAAGTAAAGATGTATAGGCGTCTGATGTTTCAGCATGCATAACTGAAGCATGTGAAACAGTATCATCCTCGTTAGTAGAGGAAAACCAAAACCCTTTTTTCCCTCAAAACTGGATTTGTAATTAAATTGTAAGCCTCATAGGGTGTATGTTGGAATTTTAAGTCTTTCCTTTGGTTCTATGCAAATAAATACATAACTGATTTTTAAGACTGTGTCCATATTGTTGGGATTGAATCTAGTATTTGCTGGGAGAATTTTTTCTTTGTATTTATTTTATTTTAATGTATTGTTCTCATGTAAGAATGACTGCATGTGTCGCAGTTAGAGAATTGAGATAGGTTTAGCAGTAGAAGAAGAAACTTGAAAAGGATGGATTCAGGCCTAAGCAAAGTTGGGCGAGAAATACAGCCATTTTGATTGTTTAAGCAGAGAAAGGAAGATGTTCTGTAGCAACGGAATATTAAGAAATAAACCAGATCAAAGTTAATACCAGTCAGAAGGTTTCGAAATGTCAGTATCCTGTTTAAGACTTTTAAATTCACCACTAGCACGACTTACATACGTCCAAATATTGAATGTTTAAAAATATATATAATATATATATATTTTTTTGTGTTTTTGAGACGGAGTCTCGCTCTGCGCCCAGCGCTGGAGCGCAGTGGGCGGATCTGCAGCTCACTTGCAAGCCCGCTCCCGGGTTCACGCCATTCTCCTGCCTCAGCCTCCTGAGTAGCTGGATACAGGCGCCTCCACGTCGCGCCGGCTAGTTTTTTGTATTTTTTTAAGTAGAGACGGGGTTTCACTGTGTTAGCCAGGATGGGTCTCAATCTCCTGACCTCGTGATCCGCCCGTCTCGGCCTCCCAAAGTGCTAGGATTACAGGCTTGAGCCACCGCGCCCGGCCTGTTTAAAATATTAATACAGATGGGGCCTCTGTTTATGTTTAGATATAATTGGAGTACTTAATTGAAACTTTTTAAAAATTGTAAAGTAAATGAAAGCTACTGAGATCTTTTTGTCTCCTATAATACCAGGGAATTTGAGCTTGTGTTCTAGTCATTGTACTAGCTGTAGCTATTGGTCTGCCCTTTTGACATACAGCTAAAAGGGACTAAATTTTTTTTTTTAAATTAGTCTGTCATAGTTGAAGATTAATTTTTCCTAATGTTGTGATTATTGAAGTTCATGAATCTTGCTGTCAAGGAAGAAAGGTAAGAAATCGGAAAGCTCCTCCATGTTGGTAAAATCCTCTCCAGAATCCTGGAACACCTGGCATGTGACCCTAGTGACGTCACAGACCTGGGGTGAAGATTCATGTTTAGCCAGTGTTTTCCAGCCTTGTACCCACCATACAGATCTGTTTATTCTGTTTCACCCTGCTCCTCCAGTGAGCCCCATATTTTGGGAAATTATCTGCCTCATACGTTAATTAATTCAATTCATATAACACTGTTGAGGGCTTACTCCAGGTACCTCTATTGTGCCTATATTAAAGGTATACAAACAAATGAGGCCATGTCTGACTTCAAGGAACTCAGTTTAATTTTGATATATTCAAAGATGTGATTCCCAACCATCTCATCACGATGAAGTAACTAGTGTTACAACTGAGTTGATACTCTAAAATATAACACAGTTTGCACTTTTATTACTAGTTAGCATATACATTTTACAGGCTTATGGTTAATAAATGAATTCACGGACTCCTGGACTACTTTACTGATCACCGTATCTCCAGGGATGTTGTTGATCCCCACACTGCCTTAAGGTGTATTATGTAAACAGTTTTCTTTTCCGTTTTTCTTGTTTCCTGATAATACATATATTTAGGACTGAAAATACTCCTCTGAGTACTCCGTTGGCTCTATGTCTTTAGCTATGGTAACTATTGTTTATTTTTAGTGGGTATTTCAGATTCAAAGTGTATTTAAAATTTCTAAGCAGATACAATATAACCTGTATGGTTTCTACCTTATGGAATTATATGGTCAATATTTGTAAATATTCTGTGAGTTATGGGTGGGTACAGGGGTGCTTTGCCTATTTTGGGTACAGGTTTTTTTGGATTTAGCTTGTTAATTGTTCAAACTTTCTGCCTTCTACATTCTTATCTTATTGTTCATTTAATCAGTTTCTGAAATGTAAGCATTACATGACTATTGGTGAGTTGTGCCTTTTATAACTGAAATACTTTTTCTCATATCCTCTATAATTGACTTCCATTTTCCTTAATTAGTCAAACCAGCTCTGGGAAATTTAATCCATTTATATTAATTGAGATTATTAAAACATTTGGACTATTCCTGGCTGTCTTATTTTGTATTTTCTGTATATCATGCTTTCTTGTTTTTATTTTGTCATCTTATTGGCTTGATTGTTATTTTTTTTTCTCCTTGTTTTTCCTCGAGTGGTTTGGAAGTAATTAAACCTATTGCTATTTCTTTAGTGATTACCTTTTTTTCTTTATGTTTAGAGTTAATTAGTAGCCATATCTTCCACCCATCTTCCAATTAAGTCAGTAACCTTAGCATTGTTTCACTTCCCCACCTCAGCCTTTTCTTGTGATGTAATCAGATTCAATTTTAGTTTTAGATTAATCTCTAGGATCTTGGCCTGTATGTGTAAATAGTTATTAGGCCACTATGAGTTTTACTGTTTTCTTTTGATTGCTTTCTCTTGCATCCCAGGATTAGTTTTCTGGTGTGCTGCTGCATATCTTCAGGTAATTAAATGTTGAATCTTCAATTTAAAAATTTTTAAATTGAGTTACGGTTTTAGACTCAAAGTCATTTTCCTTCGGAATTTTGAAGCTATAACAATCGTATGCTATTATCCAGTATTGCTGATTAAAGTCAGACACCAATCTGATTACCTTTCTTTATTTATTGATAAATAAGCTATTTTTTCCTCATGAAAAACTTCTAGGGTTTTCTTTTTATGCGTGGAGTCCTAAAATTTCACCAATTTGTGTCTAGATCTCTGGGACATTTGTCATTCATGCTGCTTACCCCACGGTCCTTTCATCTGAGTCATTGTACCATTCTCGTACTAAAGGCAATTTTAAATATGATTTTTAAAAATAGTTTTCTTAGGTGGATATCAGACCTATTAATTTACCCTCTTCACTATACTTCTGTATTTTGTCTTCATCTATTTATTCTGAAAGATTTCTTCAAATACCACCTTCCAGACCACTAATTCACCGTTTGAACACATCCATTACCTTATTATTCAGCTCTTCTATTTCATTTTAAATTTAGTAATTCTTTATTTTTTAGAGACAGGGTCTCACTCTGTTGCCCAGACTAGAGTGCAGTGGTATGGCCATAGCTCACTGTAATCTCAAATTCTGGTGCTCAAGTGATCCTCCCACTCAGCCTCCTGATTAGCTGGGACCACAGGCACGCACACCACTATTAGCCTGGCTACTTTTTTAATTTTAATTTTTTGTAGAGATGGAGTCTCTTTGTTGCCGAGGCTGGTCTCGAATTCCTGGCCCCAAGTGATCCTTCTGCCTTGGCCTTCCAAAGTGCTGGGATTACAGGTGTGAGCCACCTCGCCTGGCTAGTAATTTGTATTTAAATATTAAAGATTGCTGTCTCTAATTCTTTCTTTTCTTTTTTTTTTTGAGACAGTTTCACTCTTGTTGCCCAGGCTGGAGTGCAATGGCTTGACCTCAGCTCACCGCAACCTCTACCTCCTGGGTTCAAGCGATTCTCCTACCTCAGCCTCCTGAGTAGCTGGGATTACAGGCATGCACCACCATGCCTGACTAATTTTGTATTTTTAGTAGAGACAGGGTTTCTCCATGTTGGTTAGGCTGGTGTCGAACTCCCGACCTCAGGTGATCCGCTTGCCTTGGTACTGGGATTACAGGCGTGAACCACCATGCCCAGCCTCGCCCCCCCCCCTTTTTTTTTTTGAGACAGAGTCTTGCCCTGTCACATAGGCTGCAGTGCAGTGGCACTATCTCGGCTCACTGCAACCTCCACCTCTCGGGTTCAAGTGATTCTTCTGCCTCAGCCTCCAGAGTAGCTGGAATTAACAGGTGTGCACTACCACGCCCGGCTAATTTTTGTATTTTTAGTAGAGATGGGCTTTCACCATATTGGCCAGGCTGGTCTCAAACTCCCGACCTCAGGTAATCCGCCTGCCTCAGCTTCCCAAAGTGCTGGGATTACAGACATGAGCCACCACGTCTAGCCTCTAATTCTTGTTTCATACATGTAATACCCTTTCATCTCAGAAGAAATCAGAATTTTCACATTTTCTGTTCCTTGTTTTCCCCTTGGATTATCAGTGGCTCTGTGTGCTATCTGTTGTCCTTAAATGTTCCCTCTTAGCTAGGAAAGAGGGATTTCCTCTTGGTAGTTGGTGTATGTTTTCCCTGCATTTGTATAAGTTGTCTTTCTGCATTTACCTTGATTGAGAAGGGAGCTTGTTAACTGGCCGAAGATTTAAAGCAGTGGTCCCCAACCTCTTTGGCAGCAGCGACCAGTTTCATAGAAGACAATTTTTCCATGGACAGGGCAGGGGGATGGTTTTGGGATGAAACTGTTCAACTTCAGATCATCAGGCATTAGATTATCATAAGGAGTGCACCTAGATTCCTCGCATGCACAGTTCATAATAGGGTTTGCACTCCTATGAGACTCTAATGCTGCACTTAGACTCATGTACAGTCTAATGGCAAAACCCTGTCTTTACTAAAAATATAAAAGTTAGCTGGGCATCGTAGTGCATTTCTGTAATCCCAGCTATGCAGGAGGCTGAGGTATGATAACCACTTGAACCCAGGAGGCAGAGGTTTCAGTGAGCTAACATTGCACCACTGCACTCTAGCCTGGGTGACAGAGTGAGTCTCTGTCTCAAAAAAAAAAAAAAAAAAAAAAAAAACAACAATAAAAACGTTTGAGAAACAGTATACTAGAGCATTGTCAAACAAATCCACCTAGTGGGTAATTACAATATTGTGACTATGATTTACTGTCGATTCGGGCCCAGACTCTAGAGCTAGATGTTAACTTGTACAACATTGGTAAGCTGCAAACGATGATCTAGTAGAATGGTATGTTACTTTTCTGTGATAGAAAAGAGGTTACAGTTTTTTAGCCTTGTAGAACATTAACCACATTAGCATTTAACTATGAGAGCTTATTCCAGCATTCTTGTGTGACATTCTCTTTTGTCATCTTGTGGGGTCCTTTG